TTCATACTATTTTAAACAAGTGTATATACTGGCTATGGTTTAGTAAAAAAGAATGAGATTGTAGTGTTTCAACTCAAAATAGTCAGGGGCTTATTCCCCTACCTTAATCATAATTAAACTCAAAGTATGACATCTACGTTGATCACTTTAATTTATTTGAAGAATAGCTGTGTAGACATTATATATAGCACTCCTTCAATTCTTTGTGGGAATTTCCTCTGTATCATTAGTAATACCAAAGAAGCCTTTTTCAAAATCAGAAATACATTCAGAACAACACTGCTATCTTCTTTCCATCTTCAATATTGCATAGTGATGAAACCCCACCTAGCACATCTGCCCTCCAGAAGATTATCTGGAACAATCCCCCAGTTTTGGAAACTCTTTCATTACGTTCCACTCTTCACACCAAATTTATGATCCTATATTTTAAAATTCTTTTACACTTCACGTACAATAAGGTGATATAGTACCCTCTGACACATCAGTTTCTCTCCCAGGAATATACTCAACAAAAATACATACCTACATTTACCAAAACACATGCTCTAGCATGATCATGGCAGCACTATAAATATTAGCCCCATATTGAAAACTATCTAAATACTCACCAACAATAGAATGAATAAATAAGCCTTAGTATATTCACACAGTAGTATGCTATACATCAATTAGAATAAAAAGTTTTCACCAACAAACAGCAATATGGATGAATGTGACATTACAATGCAGAATGAAAAAAGGATAGCACAAATGAGCATACAGTGTTAGTTAGCTTTTCATCACTGGGCAAAATACCTGAGAGAACAACTTAAGGAAGAGAAGATTTATTTTGCTCATGTTTTCAGAGGTTATAGACCACGGTCAGCTAGCTCCTTTATTTCCTGTCTTTAGTAAGGAAAATTATTATCATGGCAGAAGGGTGTGGTGGAGCAGAGCTGCTCACAGCATGGCAGCTGAGAAGAAAAAACAAAGAGAGAGAGAGAAAGGATTCAGGGTATATATGCTTCATACATTAATACATTAATCAATAGGTTAATCAATTGATGAAGCCAAAGCCTTCATGATCCAGTTACCTCTTAATGATCAGATGTACCAGTTAGAGACCAAGACCTCAACACATAAGCCTTTGGAGACCACTTCATATCAAACCATAACCTGCTATATGACTCAATTTAAATAATTTCTGATGAAACTATATTCTACATTGTGAGAAGTCAGAATAGTGTTTAATCAGAAAAAGCAGTGATTGTAAAGGAACACAAAGAGGGATTCTAGAGTGTTAACTTCATGAGTGTGTTCAGTGAACTTTACAAAATGAAAAGTGTATTCTTGTGTATAAAGACTATGACAAAATGGTCATGACAAAAGGTTCAAAACCCATGATGCATATCTTTAACAAACTATATAAGTAGATAATATATAGATAGTTTTGCCTCAAATCTATTTCTCTTCTTGGTTTTAGTGATTCTTCCTGGGTCTTACAACAGTGTTCCCTAACTTCAGTCTCACACACTTATTTACATACAAATGAGCATAAGTAAAACTAGTGAAGCCTGAGTAAACTCTATGGTTTGTATCACTGCCGATATCTTGGTCAAAATTATGCTCTAGTTATCACCAAGGGAACTGGAGAAAATGTACAAAGAGTCTTGCTCTGTTATTTCTTACAATTACGTGTGAAGCTATAATTATCTTGATAAAATTTCAATTTTTATAAAGGAGAACTGAATAAACACAAGAAAATATATTAATTTAAAAAATTAGATCCGCAGATGAACTATAATAGAGTGTCTTGGGGAGGGGGTTCAGTGGGAGCTTGTACTTTTGACAAATCTTAAGTAAGTTATGATTAGGCAAGTCTAGGAAATACTGTATGATAAATTGGCTAGCGTTTAGTACTATTTCAGTTTAGGAGAGTTTGGGCATAAGTTCACAGGTTAAACTTGCCATTTTGGTTTAAAAGTGGTCTGATTTCCCTAAAATTACTCAATATTTGTTTTCTACTTTTTAAATCTACTTTGAGCATAAGGAATAAAATACTTAGGAATAAATTCACCAAAGAAAGTTCAAGAAATCATTGAAAGAAATGAGGAAGACCTAATAAATGGAAGGAAATCCCATGCACGTGGATTGTTAAAATGACAGTACCTTCAGGTTCATCAACAGATTTGAGGCATCTCCTATCAAAATCCAAACTGGCCCAGGAGTGACTATTTCTTAAAGACAATAAATATTGTTTGAAAACATGAACATAATTTCATTGTTTGCATGAAGATCTAAGTATAGCTATATCATAATTTAATTTACTTCCAAATATTTATATTCAGATTGTTTTTAAGTTTTGCGATTGTAAATGTTGTGATGAACGCCTTTATACATAAAGTTTATATTGCTGATAACTTTCAAAGATAAGTTACTAGCAAAGTTACCACTTCAAAAAGTATGGATATTTTTAATTTTTTTGATATATTGTACTAAATAGATTTTCAGAAAGATTGTACCAATTTACAATTGTACCAGTGAATAGTCCTAATAGTCTCAATGTTTTTATGTCCCTTGCCAAAATTGGAAAGAGGATACTGTCTCTCATCTTTTATTATTACAGATTTCATAGAGGTGAAAAAAATTTCCTATCTACCTTCCCTCAGAAATTGAAGAGCTGATTCCAAAATGTGTATGCAAATATAATGGATCCAAAATACCCAAAACTATCTTGAAAAATAACAAAATAGAAAGACTCACACTTCCTGATTTAAAAAATTACTACAAAGTTAATAGTAGTCAAGTGATATGGTCATATCATGATCCCAGACATGGAGAGTCCATCAATAAACTCTTACATCTGCAGCCAATTTCCAGGAAGGACACCAAAACAGTTCAGTGGGGGAAAGAATGATCTTTTCAACAAACAGGACCATGATAACAGAACTACATAACCTAATAGACAAAGACCACTTCCTGTCACGAGACTGATAGCATCAACCACAGGGGGGAAAATAGAAGTTGAATCTTTACCTTTTATGAAGAATACCTAAATTAAAATTAAAATCATGAAATTCTCAGAAGAAAAGAGATGTAAAGCTTTGTGGCATTGGATTATAACACCAAAGCCCAAGCAACCAAAGAAAAAGTAAACTGGGCTCTATTAACATTTAAAACTGTTCTTTTGTGAATACTAAAATAACAAAGGCACCAACAAGTTTGACAAGAATTCGTAAAAATTTTAACATTCATTCTTAGCTGGTGGAATGTAAAATGGTGTAGTAACTTTGGGAAACAGTTTGACATTTTTCTGAAAAGTTGAATACTGTACAGAACTGCATTATATACAATCCTATATTCTGAGCAATGCAGTATATACTGCATTATATACTGAGCAATTCCATTCTCAGGTATACGTAGCCAAAGGAATTAAACTCCTATGTCCACACAAACTTGTATACAAATGTTGATAGGAGAATTATACATAACAAACAAAATGTAGAAGTAACTGAAATGTGGAAGTTAACTGATGGGTGGTTAAACAAAAGTGGTAGATCTATTGTGATAGAATATTATTCAGTCATTAAAAAGATGAAGTTCTGGTAGATGCTAGAATGTAGATGAACTCTGGAAACATTAGTGAAAGAAGTCAATCACAAAACCCCACACAATATTTGATTTGATTTCATTTATATGAAATGCCCAAAATAGGCAATTTGACTGAGACAGAGAATAGATTAGGTGGCTGGCTAATGGGATAAGGAAGGGGAAATAGGTATTGACTGTCTATAAGTACAAGGCTTCTTTGAGAGGATAATAAAAATTATCTAAAATTAGATGGTGGTGATAATTGTACATCTCAGCAAATATACTGAAAATTGAAACATGATCTGATTTATCTGGTATATGGATTTGATCTCCAGTTTTTAAAAAAACCTACCCAGCATTCTCCAGTATAAGTTGTTTACATTATAGTCATTTTCTAAACCAAGTCTCTGCCACTGATGTAAATGGTAAGACAGATTGAGTTTTGTGCCAGGAATAACCTCTTTCCACAGTCAGTCTTACAGAGGGAGGAAACTAGGCATTTGAATCTTGACCAGAGGAATTTTGTTTTTTCCACTTATTTGTCTTGAGAACAATAGGCATAATTTGATATTGTAACATGCCACGTTGATAGTGGAGGACTATTCAAGGAAAATACTGCCACTTCCCAAAGCAAATCTGTAAACTATTAATTTAGCTGACTGTGTGATTTGATGGAATGAGTACTGGACTAGACCTCAGAAAACCTTTCCCCATCTTACTGTGTGACTTTGGACTTGTCAGTTATCTCTGCATTTTTCTTCTTATCTGGCCACTAAATATTCACACCTACACAATTCATTTATAAGATTTTCAAAGAACTAAATGGATACAAGATTTGAAGGTGCTTTGAAATTGACAGAAGTGTAAAAATAATGTGCCATTATTTATTTAACATCCTTCATTTTTCTTCTTCAGATTTGATTTTCAAAGATGGGGAAATATAAGGCGCTAAGTTAAATGGTTTCTTCTGGATACTGATTGAGAGGAACTGGCTGTTCTTGAGGAAGAATGTTGTATGGACTCAAAAACCTGCCCTTGGGTGACATTAACTGATAGGGCTTTACAGAAAACTACATTATGATTTTTTTAATGTACTGTTCTGGCAACCCAAGAATGATATGACAGGCAGACAGGTTATTGTCAATTAAACAAGAGCTGTCAGAAAGTCAGAAACGTTGAAATATGGTGGCCATGAATCCTAAGCATATCATCTGGCAGCTGCTCCACTGTTATTTTAACAGAGGCTCTGTGCAGATGTGTCATTTTCCTGCAGAATTGCATTTAAGTCCCTAACAACGGAGACATCTCTGCATTTGCATGCTGCTGCCAAGTCAAATGTGGACCTTCCAAATGAGCTGGGATGGTGGGTGGGAGTAGGGAAGTGGCATATGCAGGAGATGCTTCTTGTCCCATTGTCCTCCACTCAGGTTACATCGAAGAGGCCTGCATCATCCCCTGCCCCTCAGACTGCAAGCTCAGTGAGTGGTCCAACTGGTCACGCTGCAGCAAGTCCTGTGGAAGTGGTGTGAAGGTTCGCTCTAAGTGGCTGCGAGAAAAACCATATAATGGAGGAAGACCTTGCCCCAAATTGGACCATGTCAACCAGGTATTTTCCTATCATTGAGTGTGTGAAGATATTGTATAGATTTACAGTGACCTATTATTTATCTCCAAAATAGAAAGGAGTAAATAATAACTCCTAAGTAAGAAATCATATCCATTTTACCATTAGAATGTTAGAGTAAATTACATGTACCTTATTAAATCCAAAATTAGGACCATTATTTCTGAATTCTCTGGAGATTCAGTCCCTTCAAGTGTATGAATATGGTTTTAATTCAGTGGAGAGAAAAATGGACACCTATCTTTGAAATAATGTCAAGTTATTTAATCTGTCATAAAATTGTATCTGACTTGTGTGATGAGATTGTGTCATTTTTTGAGTTTCCCTAGACTTTCAGAAAAGACATCTCAATTACCAACTACTTAAGTTCAAATCAAAGAAAGTATAAAGGTATGAGGGGGTCTAGAATTAGGAAAAATGTACTGTGTATTCATTTAAATTTGTTTGGTGTAAAATAAGTTAAGGAAAAAGAAATATGAAGAAAGTCTCAAAATCACTGAACTATGTGAACAATTTAGTCATTGGCCTTTTAAAATTTTGTTTGGACATTTATTAAAGTTTGAATGCACATGTCATTAACTGCCATCAATAGTTGTTGTTTGTATTCTATTAGAAATAAAAAGTAAAATGTGACTAATTTAAATATAATTTATCAGACAATTATGTTTGACCTACATGTAAATTGAGAATGAAGCTCATATAATATGTGCAGGTGTTAAGTTGTATATTTGAATTTAAGTTAAAATCAAATGAATCAACTCTTTACATATGCAGAAATGTTTCTTACATTACATACACTGTGATTTTAATCTCCAAACGCACTGCTCACCAGTACACGTACTTTCCTTCCCAATTAACCTGCGTTTGTTGATAATCATAGAAGCACACTGTAGAAAAAACAGAAGGAGCTTTTGAATAGAGTAAATAAAGAAGATGACAGTGTGGAATTAAATTCCATTAGAAGTATTCTCAAGGAATCTTGATTTTTCCCATGTTGCTGAATTTATTCTTTAAATTCACTTGTGGATAAAATACTCCACTGCCGCCATCTACCGGTCAGTAGGCTTTGTTTCATTGAGCATTTTGCATTTCAAAGATGCTAGTGAATAATTTGCAAAGCAGAAAATTCAGTTCCACAACTCTAATTATCTAAATGAGAAACAGAATAACTGACCTCAAATATTTATAATACAAACAAGTCTTTTTCTACAAGTTTTGAAACCTTGAGTTTCCTATAGCATATTTAAATTTTAATAAATTATGTCTACAGTCTCAAATAAAAAGAAATTCTACACATGCTCTTACCCAGTTCACTTTAGTGTTCATTTGTGTGCACATGCGCTAGTCACATATGCAAATGAAATAAGCTGTGTTTACTTCAGCATTTTCTTTTGTATTGTATCTGTAAAGGTTCAAGACCTTGTGCAAAGTTGTCTTTGGTATGAAAATTCTTTATCCTATAACTATTTCTCTGTCACTTTGCATTTCAATATAATCTGGTGCAGAATTTTTTAAATTGTTGTTCTGGGTAGGGATACATTGTGACATTTACAAAAGTTCTTACAATATATCAAATATATTGTACTTGGATTCACCCCCTCCACCATTCTCCTTTGAAAGGAACGTTTCTGTCCTTATTCTCAGCTTGCTGGAAGTATAGAAAAAGCTTAATGACTGAAAATTCAAAATTAAAACAAGAAATAATAGATTTTTGAACATTTGATTGTAAGCATGAGTATGTCACATAAGTGCCTACACATTTACATATTAAAAATATTTAAGAAAAACAATGTGCAAAGTTTTGTTAATATTGAAAATTATAAATCATACAGATTTTTACTACAAATATAGTTTCATCAATAAAATATATTTTATTGAGGCTCCATTTTCCAGTTGAAGAAGCAAATTATCAAATCCTCATTTCCTACAAAACAGATGGATTGATTAAGATGGGTTGATGGATAGATGGATCTATAGATACATAGATATAAAAATAGTCTACCTGGATCACGTTATTTATAGACATATATCACCCAGTTTTCTGAGATTTCCTCATCCTGTTCATTTAATCTTTTCCTTGGTTGTGGTGTTTCCAATACTCATTAGTTTTCAGCAATATAAGTGGTTGAATTTTCTCTCCTGAAATCTACGGAAAGTGGTTCCGTTCTTCATAAAAAATAAGCTTTTATGTGTATGTGTGGGTTGTGTATGTGTGTGTGTGTGTGTGTGTGTGTGTGTGTGTGTGTTTGGATACATATATACATATAGTACTTGAAACTTAGAACCCGAGTTCTTGTCATACTGACATTTTCGCCCATATTTTGTCTCCACTTTCTGCATTCCTGTTGAACACTACTCCAGGCACAGGTAAGAATTCTTAAGTCCCTTGGTTCTTCATAGAGTTTTTTTTTTTTTTATTCCAGATTTCTAAGAATATATTTCCTTTCCTGCTCTTGTCTTCTACGCTTTGCCAGAAGAAAATACCACATTTTCTATTGAAAAAATTTTTCTTCTAGCTATTCCCTTTTTATCCCTAGCATAGTAACTCCCGTCTCCTCACTTTAATACGAGGCCCTGAGAGGAAGGCGTTCTCAGCTTCTTTAGTTCTCCCCTTTTACCTTGAGAGACAATAATGCTCCTTACTATGCTTTTCAGAAAGAGAGGGACAGGTGCAGGTGGGCCGGAAATAGGTGGGTGGAGGTTACGCTGAACCAATTTGTATTCACTCTAACATAGGAAATTAAAATGAAAGCCATCAATGTTTAGGAAGAACAGTTCTCTTCAATTTCCCCCTTCCTCTGGAGTTGTAGAGTACTGATAATAACCATGTGGTAACAGCCCTATTCTAGTACTGCATCTAGATATGAATGTGCTCCCTTGTGGCAATAACTATAGTATCTTATTACAACAGGGAATTTTTTGTTGTTGCTGTTCTTTTTTGGGATAGGGCCTCCCTATTCACTCTCCTTAGGGTGGGTTTTAGTCCACTATAATTTGCACAAATGAATAGCTCCAAAGGGCTACTTCAGTCTGTTTCCTAGAATTAGTTAAATAAAACATTCATATGCTCTACTGTGGGTATATAAAATGGGAAGTACAGTTGGTCTTTCATAAATCATGAAAATATTTGAAAAGATTTTTCTTTAATGGTTGTGTCAGTGTTATTGCAGTACATTATGGTACATTTATTTCCTTTGTTTGTTTATTTTTCTTATTGAGAAAACAGCATAATTGGTCCAATGTCCTAAAATCCCTGAAAGTAAACTTAACACCTCACACATGGGGCTGAAAACCTTTATGGACTTCGACCACAGACAATTTGCTTTGTTTTCCTGATTTTTTTTTTCATTTTTCTTTTATTATTCATATGTGCATACAAGGCTTGGTTCATTTCTCCCCCCTGCCCCCACCTCCTCCCTTACCACCCACTCCACCCCCTCCTGCTCCCCCCCTCAATACCCAGCAGAAACTATTTTGCCCTTATCTCTAATTTTGTTGTAGAGAGAGTATAAGCAATAATAGGAAGGAACAAGGGGTTTTGCTGGTTGAGATAAGGATAGCTATACAGGGCATTGACTCACATTGATTTCCTGTGCGTGGGTGTTACCTTCTAGGTTAATTCTTTTTGATCTAACCTTTTCTCTAGTTCCTGGTCCCCTTTTCCTATTGGCCTCAGTTGCTTTAAGGTATCTGATTGAGGCTGTAGCTGTGAAGCATCTGAGACCAATTTCAGACCTTGCTTCCAAACCCTACATAATTAAGAACTAGTTTTAAGATGCAGACATTTCATATTAGTTGTCTTTTAATTTAGTTTTCCTGTATGAAAAAACAAAAAGTATAAATTCTCATTACTATACATATATATCAGGAAAGCAGACCAAATTATATTTCTTTGGAAAGCAGCTCTGTTTATAAAACTCATTTCATTCATTTATTTGGCAAATTTCCATTGAGTATCTAACATATGAGCACCCTGGCTAACTATTGAAAACATACCAAACTATGGAGAAAAAAACAAAAAACAGATGGCACAGACTTTCCTCAGATTCCCTGAGATCATCAATGACCATGTGTGTTTCAGGTATATGAGGTCGTCCCATGCCACAGTGACTGCAACCAATACATATGGGTCACAGAGCCATGGAGTGTCTGCAAAGTGACCTTTGTGAATATGCGGGAAAACTGTGGAGAGGGCGTGCAAACCCGAAAAGTGAGGTAAGGCCAAGTCTAACTACACAGAAAGGCAAGATGCATAACCATCTCCCAATTTCACATGTGCACTCACTCTTCTCCAGTCTCCCATGTAAAACTGGCTTTTAGTTTTGTATTTAGGCACTATAGGTTCATGGCAACTCTAAGAGGATCTGTTTCAAGCAGCAATTTGTCATATTATGGTTTGCTGACTTAAAAAGCTTCACAACACTCCTGAAGAGAAGGAAAAGCATATTGAAAGCAGGCTGAACTAATGCAGATTTTCTACCCTAACAGTTTTTTCTTAAGGGCCAAATGTATTTCTAAGCACATTTTTAAACAGTCTGTTTTAAACTCATGGCTGGGTAATTTTTTAGTGTTCTTATCTCATCTAAAGCGCCTTCCCTGAGCCCCCTGGCTGGCTGTTGCCTCTCACTTGTTCTTCTATAGTCATGCAGTTCAGTAGGGTAGCTACTAGCCAAATGTGGCTAGTCCAATTCCAGTTGAAACTAAAGAAAATTAAGAAAGTTTAAAATGTTCTTCGACACTAGCTATTATTTCAAGTGCTTCATAACCATATGAAGCTATTCTGTTGGACGGCACAGACGTAGAAAATTCCCATCAACTGTGAAAATTACTGAGCAGCGTTGCTCAGGACAGCACATACATCTCCCCATTGTTTCAAAAAGATCCATTTACATACTTCGCACCTTTATAGAACATCGTATTTCTCCAAACAACAACCCTATCATATGTATAGGAGTTCCCTAATGCATAACAGAAGCTCAGTACACACTACATTTTCCATACATCTGCCCTTAACAGTTCTAGAACCCTATGAAACAAGTGTGTGAGGTTTTATCATCTCCTTTTTATAGATTACAGTACAAAGTTCTAAGTAACTTACTAGAAACACCCAGAGTTTGAATTCAAACCCAAATCTCATGTCACTGTCTTTACCTATACCAGCTTCTAACATGTCATGAAGTGCATTGTTACCTGTAACCTAACTTTTCATGGATTTAAGATTGGTATTTCTTGATCTGTTTCAGTAGGACGGTAGAACATCTAAAAACTTGCATTATAAAATTTTTGCACATAAAACTAATTGCAACTGTTTCTAAAAATATATATTTTTTTCCAAAAGCCCATCTGAACTCTAAATTTACTATTCTCTGAGGAACTTAAAAGTAGACTGGAGATAAAAAGGTAGGAAGGTAATCAGCAGGTAGGAAAACAAAGGAAAAAGACAGAGATTCTGTTTTCTACTATTCTCCTTCCAAATTAAATTTTTTCTTCAAAATTTGGACATACTTATATTAAGAATTTGATTGAGTTGGTTGTTTAATTATCAGTGTTTATATATATATATATATATATATATATATATAAAGAAGTACTATTTTTTCAACTTTCCCTTTAACTGTCTTTGCATATGCTGCTTCTTTTTGTTTTGTAAACTGATATTCTCAACATTTCCAAATGCAACTTGAGACAAAGTAACTTTTCCAATCAATATATTTATTGAGTAAACATCTTTGATGCAAATAAAGAAAGGAGAAGGTCAGTATTGATTGAGATCTCTGATCATGTAATAATGTTTCTGTTTGTTACTGATTGAGTAGTTGCACTTCTCTAACTTTAGCCTCTGCTAATTAAGGTCAAGATGTCCTGCTTAAATGCAAATGTAGGGTGACATTTCAGGATAGATAAGTCTATAAAAGAGCAGATTTAAGCTTTTTTCTGTTAGGATGATATGGCAAATCAAGGGATGGGTTGTGGAAGTGGTTTGGCCTAGTAGGAAAAGGATGTTCCTCCTGCCTCTTGGGGCTTGGGATGAACCCAGGGCTTTCAGCATGCTAAGAAAGGGAAAGGGTATTTTTAAGAAATTGGCAGCTCATGACAACAATAAAAAACAGATTAATTACTGTTACTATTACTTTTGATTTCCCTACAGGCAGTATCCCCCATATGGCCTCACTGCCATGGGCCTCAGGGCCCTCTCTTTATACTTGAGACTTGGTCCTACATTATGTATTTCTAATACAGTTCAGTTTTTTCACATCATAATTCTTGGCCCTTGGATTAAAGAAACACTAAGACTTTAAAGAAAACAAATGAATTTAGAAAGCTTTTCTTTGTGAAAGATATTTGAAATTAATCCAAAAATCTATTTAGTGTTGTAGAATTATAAAAAAAATTGTTAATGTCAATGAAGTACAAGAATGTAAAACTGGTTCTGTTTGGGGGATGGTCCTAGCGGGACGGAGAGTGAACTGAGAAGGTAAAGGAGGGTGAATATGGTCAATGTACTTTATATACGTATATGAAGCTAGAATATTTAATCCTGTTGAAATCATTTTAAGTACGGGGGAGGGGAATGAGAGGAGATGGGTGGAGATGAACCTAACCAAGGTACATTGTAAGCATATATGGAAATGTCACAGTGAAACCCTCCCTCTCCCCCGTACAACTAGTATATACTAATAAAAATAAATAATAAAAAAATTTTAAAAACAAAAGTGAAAAAAAAAGACAAAAGCAAAAACAAAAGAATCCTTTATAAGGGGTTTTTATTTTCCTCTTTGTGCAACCTCCACTCCCAGTTTCCTTCCCTACTATAGGTTTGGTACTGTGTATGTATTATCAGTACATTAAAAAACTGTTAATGTCAAATAAAACCTATTAGTAAGTAAACTTTGCCATTTTAGTAAATGAAAATTTATCTTTAAAATGATAATCTGTTTAAAAATAAAGTCTGAGGAACTGACAGAGTGGCTTAAGGAGTAGAGCACCTACCTAGCAAGCATGAGGCCCTGAGTTTAAACCCCAAATCCTAGTACTACAAAAAAAAAAAAAGAAATAGAAATAAAGTCTGTTAAGAGTGATTATCTTTGAATGATGAATTATGTGAGTTTCTACTACTTTAAATTTCCTTAAATAAATATGTTACTTGTATATCAGAAAAGCTTTTGAAAATGAAGTTTTATGCATATGACAGCTTCGTAGAGCATTGGACATCTGTTCTTAACTGGGATCAATAGTCAATTTTACAAGTTAATCCTTATGTAGATGTATTAGTACCTGCCATGAATGTGATCTTAGCATCAAATCTGACTTTTGAACATGAAAATGCATTTTCTGCCCATGACTTCTGCAAGCTGCTGTCAAAAGAACATTTTAAACTACTATTAAAAGTAGGATGTTTTCCTGTAAAACTAAAATTCTCCCAAAGAGAATTATAATTTGATTTTTCAACAATGAAATCATACAAATATCTACCTTTCCATGTTCCTATGGTTGCTTTTTGTATATTTACTTACTATACAAAAATGCAGAGGTAGTACTTGCATGGATATTCTTTTCAGGCTTCAAATCCAGTTAAGACATGAACAATGACACAGTTTCCAGGCCTTTGAATGTATCCCACAGAAAAAGGACATTTCTCTTTAATTCAACCATGGTATAGAAACTTGACACTGCAAGTAAATTTGTGGATATGCAATGACCCTACCAATTTTAAGTCTCTGAGAAAAGTTGGGATTCCAAGAGTAATGGTCATGTAATTCAAATGACTGTTGAAAACACTGTAAAGACTGAGAGGCTTAAATGCCCAAGATGTCCTTTTCATCTCCTTTGGGAAATTCTCTTCCCAAACCCATTAATATGGTTGCCTTTTCCCATGCAATAGATAAGGGATAAAGATTTTCTCTTCCATTACTAAAATGCACTGAGATTATTAACTATGGTAAAAGTGAGCCACATTAACTTCGTAAGACATAAGAGCCCTTCATGACTTCTTACAGTAGAATAACTTGGAATGCAAGGTTTAGATTCATTCAGTTACAAAGAAAACTAACAAAAAAATTAAGATACAGGAAGAGCTAAATAACCACACATAGAGAATATGTGCTATTTTGATTGTCTTTTCACTTCTGGCTTTCTTTTTGAGTTAACAGTAGATGGCAAGTTAAAATTACTTTTTTTAAATGGATAAATGCCTCTAGTTATCTTTGAAAACACTTCATGAACCCTCTCATATAGATATTACAGTGAACCCAATTTTCCACCATATTTGAATTAACTCCACTATTTTTATTAGAAGAAAATGCAGTATGTGCCCAAACTGCAATATCTCTGAATCTCTTTGAACCACTTCTCATTAGTTCTTGCCTCATGTGAGGGAGGCAAGGGGAGTGTAAATGACTCCCCTTGCAGAAGAAACTCACTTGAAATGCAGAGTTTATACATATATATGGAGGCTGTTACACTAAAATATTATGACCATGCATGTAACCATATATTTTTAAATCATAAAGAAGTACTAAATATTTAAAGAAGAATGTTATTCATTAGATACAAAGTTTTCTGCCCTAAGCCCATGATGGTGTCTTAAGGAGATCCCCTATCCTATGAGTTGGCCATTATTCTAGTTGTACAAGTTCCTTCATTGGTGGGTTTGTTTCTTCTAGATGCATGCAGAATACTGCAGATGGCCCTTCAGAACCTGTGGAAGATTACCTCTGTGACCCAGAAGAGATGCCCTTGGGCTCTAGAGAGTGCAAATTACCATGCCCTGAGGACTGTGTGATATCTGAATGGGGTCCATGGAGCCGATGTGCTTTGGTGAGATTATTAACCACTTTATTAATTTGGAGTTTGCTTAATTTCTTACCACTAAAGCTTTAAAGATATTAAGAAAAAAGTAATTTCACTGTATAACTCTATTTGTGTGCCATATTTACAAAAGTGAGGTATATTTTCATGGCCAGTTCATTCTATGACTACACCATTTAAAGTTACTTTATTTCCTCTCACACTAAAACAGCTTGACCCCTTGCAAGTCTTTTGCTCCTTCTCCACCCATGCTCCTAACCCAGCACATGATGCCATCAATTTCTTCACAAATACACAGCATGTAAAAAAAAAAAAAAAACCTGCAGCAGTGATAATGATTGACTTTAGAGAAAAAGAGAAAAGAATGATGCTCCAGAGAAGGTACTGTAATGGTTTCAGCTTATTGTCATCCCTTGCTTTTTGTCCAGTCCATTTTATTTCAGTGGTAGGAATAATATTTCACACAGCAGGGTAGCAACACTAAACAGCAGAAGAAACTAAGTAGAAAAGAAATCTGTGCATCAATGAATCTCTTCCCACACACTGACTCTGTGTTGCTTTTAGCCTGGAAGGCCAGCTGAGAGTACCAAATCACACCAAGCTTGTAGATTTTCATAGTAGGAGTGTCTTTTCCATGGGCCTCCTGGAAGGGAGATGTTTGAAACAGCCCTGCATACTTAGGTAAGAAATCTGGCTTGCCCTTGGGCATTTCAAAAACAGTATCAAAGGCTCAAGAAAGTTTCAAAGAGAAGTTTATAGTGAGTGTCTTCCAAGGAGAGATGGCTTTTCCATCTCAGTGTTGACATTGTTAAAGATGCTGACTGGCAACCAACTGATAGAGCACAAGCAAAACAAGGGTACAGATTAAAATGAAGAATTAACTGTTTCACAAGACCATGCAATGAGTTTCTATTTAAATTTCACAGCATTAGCCTTGAAGTTATGGCAGATAGTTAGACTACAATCTACAGTGTCTAACTATGTTTATAAATGTGAGTTCTTATTATCACACACTCTGTTGCAAAAAAAAAACCCCAAAAAAAACCTAGGCTGCATTTTTTTTTAAATTTCTACCTCCTCCCCTCATTCCCAGAATTGTTTCAGCAGGTATCATTTACATACAAGTGTACACAGTAGTGCACTATGTTCACCTTCCCATACCCTTTCCCCTTCCTACTGGTACAAACTGCCCCCCAAACTGTTCCACCCTCTTGTTCCCCAACCTTGTCAACAACAACAAAAAAATGACATTTTTGTTTAAGATAGCTTATACAGGGACTTTCATATGTATATATATATATATATACATATATATATATATATATATATATATATATATAACCTGAATTGGTTCATCTCCTCTATTTTTCTTCTTTCTACCTTAGTGCCATTTTTATGGTGATTTCCACAGGTTTAAAAATTTTATATTCATTCTTATATAGAGAATACATCAACCATATTCATATTCTTAATTGCATTTACCCTCCCTCTCTCATATCTGATCTTCCCTTAGTGTTACCTGTTTTTCCTAATATTGCTGTAATTGTATTAGGTCTATATTCTACATATGAGAGAAAACATGTGACTTTTGGCCTCTGAACCTGGCTAACTTCACCTAAGATGTTCTCCAGTTCCATCTATTTACTTGCAAATGACAAAATTTCATTTTTCTTTGTGGCTAAATAAAATTCTACTGTATATAAGTACCACATTTTCTTAATCCATTCATCAGTAGTGGGGCATCTTGACTGTTTCCATAGCTTAGCTATTATGACTAACACTGCAATAAACATGGATGTGCAGGTGACTTTATTGTAACCTGACCTACATTCCTTCGGGTATATCCCTAAGAATGGTACTGCTGGATAATATGGCAGTTCTATTCTTAGTTATTTGAGAAACCTGCATACTGTTTTCCACAGTGGTTGTGCTAATTTACATTCCCACCATCAGTGGGAATGTAAGAAACCCTTACATAGGGTTCCTTTTCCCCCACATCCTCACCAATATTTGTTGTTGTTTGTGTTTTTGATGATAGCTATTCTAACAGGAGTGAGGTGGAATCTTAGTGTGGTTTGACTTGCATTTCCTCTATGGCCAGGGATGGTGAGCATTTTCTCATGTGCTTTTGGGCCATTTGGATTTCTTCCTTTGAAAAAGCTCTGTTCAGTTCATTTGCCCATTTCTTCACTGGGTCATTGATTTTTTTGGGAGTTTAGTTTTTTGAGCTCCCTGTATATTCTCATTATTAATCCCTTGTCAGATGTATAGCTGGCAAAGATTTTCTCTGATTCTGTGAGCAGCCTCTTCAATCCAGTGACCATTTCTTTTGTTGTACAGGAGCTTTTAAATTTCATGTGGTCCCATTTGTCAATCATTTCTCTTAGTTACTGTGCTTTTTGTGCTCTATTTAGGAAGTCATTGCCTGTGCCTATTACTTCCAGTGTATTCCCCACTCATTCCTACACTAGGTTCAATAATTCAGGTCTTATATTAAGGTCCTTAACCCACTTTGAGTTGATACTTGTTCAGGGTGAAAGATGGGGATCCAGTTTCAGTTTTCTGCATGCAGATATCCAGTTTTCCCAGCAACATTTGGTGAAGAGGTTGTCTTTTCTCCTTTGTCAAAAATTATGTAGGCATACCTGCATGGATTCATATCTGCTTCTTTTATTCTGTTCCACTGGTCTTCATATCTGTTTTTGTGTCAGTACCATGCTGTTTTCATTGCTATGGCTCTGTAGTATAGTTTGAAGTCAGGTATTGTGATACTTCAAGCATTGCTCTTTTTGTTCAGAATTGCCTTGCCTATTCACAGACTTTTGTGCTTCCAAATGAACTTTAGGGTTGATTTTTCAATTTCTGTGATGAATGTCATTGGGATTTTGATGGAGATTACATTGAACATATAGATTGCTTTGGGCAATATTGCCATTTTCACTATGTTGATCCTACAAATCCATGAGCATAGAGATCTTTCCATCTTCTGTAGTCTTCCTCAGTTTCTTTCTTCAGTGGTTTATTGTTTTTCTTGTAGAGGTCCTTCACATCCTTTGTTAATTCCTAAGTATTTTTTTGAGACTCTTGTAAATGGAATTATTTTCCTATATTCTTTCTCAGTCTGCTCATTATAGTGTATAGTAAGGCTACTGATTTTTGTAAATTGATTTTATAACCTGCTACTTTTCTAAAGCTGTTTACAACGCTTAGGATTTTTTTGGTGTTTTTTTGGGTTTTTTAGGTATAAGACCATCTGCAAATAGTTTGACTTGTTCCTTTCCAATTTGTATTCCTTTTATTTCTTCTCCTGTCTTATTGCTCTTGCTAGGAATTCTAAGATTATGTTGAATAAGAGTGGAGAGAGTGGACACCCTTGTCTTGTTCTTGACTGTAGAGGAAATGGTTTCAGTTTTTCCCCATTAATTATGATGTTGGCTATAGGCTTGTCATATATACCTTGGCTGCTTCTTAAACTCGTTATCAAGAATTCTAACAGTAGGAAACACTGAACTGGAACTATTTCCATTTGCTTTCTGTTTAAAATAATCAAGAATAATCATCTTAGAAAAATAATTGAGGCTGTACCTTGTATAAAAGACTGTTGGTGAAACATATTTTGTGTTCTCGAGTATTTGCCAGTAAAAATGTTTGGAATGAGAATAAAACACAGTCAGTTGAATGGTTGTACTTCGTAAACTTTTTTATTTTTAGTTCATCTATTTCATCACTCAAGTCTTCATTAAATAAATACTGATTAAATACTTTCTCCCAGGAACTATGTTAGGTGTGGAGAACATATATATATATATAATATATATATAATATATATAATATATATATATAATGATATAAATCTTTCAATGCACTCACACTGTAGACAGAAGCAAGGCCAATATGTAATTCATAGCTCAAAAAACAGTGTTATTCTGGTGCTTTGGCTAAGGTACAATGGAAGCAGAGGAGGAGAGAGCAATCATTTTAGGTCTAAAAAGGTCGAAGGAGGCTTGTCCCTAGCAACTCGTTCTTAGAAAACAAATGTTTTAGACCTGGCATGGAGGTTCACGCCTGTAATCCTGGCTTGTCAGGAGACAGAAATTGGGAGGATTGCAGTTAGAGACCAACCCCAGCAAAAAGGTAGTGAGACACCATCTCAATCAATGACTAGTTGCTATGACTCTCATTTGTCATCCCAATTATGTGGAAATGCAAGACCTTATTCAAAAAATAATGAAAGCAAAAAAGGGTTAGGTCATGGCTCAAGTGGTAGAGCATCTACTTAGCAAGCATGAGGCCCTGAGTTCAAACCTAGCATAGCCAAAAAAAAAAAAAAAAAGAGAGAGAGAGAAAGCAACCAAATCCTTTAAGAAGCCAGTCTTCTTAGATGCTAAATTGTATGCATGCCTAGGTATGAATTAGGAAAACAAATTCATTAATATCTAGATAATTATTTAAAATTACTCTTAAAATGTTTTTGTAGGTCAAAGAGACTGTGTATGTGTGTGTTTGTGTGTGTGTGTGTGTGTGTTTGTGTATGTAGGTGTTTACATACATACAAATCTATGTATATGCATGTATGCATTCTTCAAGGATGAACATGGCTGATATGCTTATGGTTATACAGTGTGAGGTGATGTGTATATTAGTATTTGAAACATATAATCTTCTGCAGTTTATAGCTAGATAGGACATTAGAATCTCAGCTAACACTGTCATTTTGTACCTGAAAAATGTACCTGAAGCATTATGAGGTTAACTGGCTGTTCAAGATAACCAATGGCACAAGTGTTCTAACTCCTGCTTTAGTGCTCTCTGTGATGTGCTTGCTGATGTGTGGCTGAGAGTTCACCTTTCTGAGAGTGGTGTTGTTCCTTATAAGCCTTGCAATCAAAGCAGTTTGAGGCAGAGGTCAGCTGATCCCATCAGACAACCTGCTGACGAAGGAAGAGCCTGCCCCAACACTGTCCAGAAGGAACCCTGCAACTTGAATAAAAACTGCTACCACTATGATTATAATGTAACAGGTAAGTGGATCATCAGTTCTTCGTGGAGTTAAAAGCCAAATCCCATGTATGCCAGCTCTGAAGCATCAGCACAGGCAATTTCCTTTTGTGTGCTATTTGAACATGTAGCTTATTCTCCCAGATAGCAAATAGCAGAAATACTTATCTATTTTTTAATAAACATCAAGATATGGAAAACAAAAATATCACAGACATGGGCCCTTAAAGTAGGTTGTGAGTACTCTCAGTGATCCTGCTTAAGACATCCTCTCACTTTGGAAAGGTATAAATAAAAGAAATATTTTCACCACAGGTAACAGATTTATTAAAAGATTTCTTTCTTTTTCAGAGTATTTTAATTGTTATATCTACTGAGGCAACAATTCTTGGACTGTGTGGGTAGTTTATGAACATAATTAGTTTGGTGTAAAAGTGTCAGCAGTCTTAAATAGATGAACATTTTTCAGAAAAGTGTGCTTTATACATTTCTCTAATTTCCTAAAAGTTCATTTAATATCATGGAGGCAAATGCATCAAGAAAATATTTCACTGGTTCATATGATTCGGCACAACATCAAAGCTGACTTTGTTGATTTTTCCCAAGTAATTTCCACACTGAAACAAGCTCGAAATTGTACAAAGACACATGACAGTCATATTTGCTTTTTGCTTCTTTTGGTTTTTCTCTTCTTTCATGACACAAAGGAAATCAAAGTTCTCTGGGACATGCTGTGTTAGCCTGGAGAAAAAGATAAAAGAATGATTTTTGAAAGGGCATAAAATAAGAGAATTAAATAAATATGCCCAAAGTTATTTTTGAAGTAAATAAGCTTGTGTTTTACAGCATTCTAAATATGGACAATAAATGAAGTACATAGTGTTTTATTTGACTATAATTAAACAAATTACTGTCTCTTAAAATTATGGTTATTTTGCTAAAGAGACATAATGCTAAAATTTTAATTTCTACTTTTATTAGGAAAAATGTTTTCAAATGACATTGATCTGTAAGCTGAAGCCATTTTTATAGTATCACCAAACGGCCAGCTATCAAGATTGTCAAGTAGACATCTGCCTTGAAGAGTTATCCCTGCAGCTATGTGCAACCCCAGCAATTCCACTGGACTCCTGATATGTTCAAAGCTGGGGCCCATATGCTCTACATGTGGGATGATTGATTGAGGGCTTAGGAAGCAGTTGTGAATTAAGTATGGAATTCAGGTCATCAGAGTTTCATTTGAAATCTGTTTCATGCATAGCCTTCTGTTCTGATGGGCTCCCTTCCTTTCAGACTGGAGTACATGTCAGCTGAGTGAGAAGGCTGTTTGTGGAAATGGCATTAAAACAAGGATGTTGGATTGTGTTCGCAGCGATGGCAAGTCAGTTGACCTGAAATATTGTGAAGAGGTGGGTGGGTTGCTGTATTATATCTTGTGAGTAAATTCTTCCTTAATAATTTCAATTCACATTGAGCCAAGTGACCTGTGCTCCATGCAGTTCGTAGCCAGCAGATGTTTTGTAGCACTATTCACAGGCTGTTCAGTACTCTCTTAGAGAGAAACAGTATCCAACACTCCTCTGATTTCCACATATAATTTCCTGTATTTTGTACTGCTTAGAGCCCAAAGGTATGCTAATTTGCCTATTCCAAAAGAAATGCAAGGGAAACAATAAGTAATCAAGGTGAATAAAATCAATAAATCTTAATCAGACTACTCATCGTCTTTTGTAATTCCAATGTGAATTTCGTGGAGTGTCTGGGACACCTGCCAAGACCCATCATTTACTCTCTCTGTTGCTAAATGTGGATTGCATTTGGTTTGATAGGAGATTTTGATATTAGGATGTAATGCCCAGCTGTGAGAGCCCAAGTCCTCAGGTCTGAATAAGAGACCTTGAATTCAAAAAAAGTAATTAAGTCTGTCATTATTATCTTTTAGATACAGAGAATTGTAACTTATTATTAATTCTCCAATGAAAGTGGTATCACCATTCCTAGATATGACCTTCAAAAAAGTGAGGAAGCACAGTTGTTGACCTTTCTTAGTTTTCATAAATCTGCATTTCATGTTGCAGTAATTTTATCTGAATTCCATACCAAAAAGGCACACATTCCTAACAAGTTTGACTCCTTGTGCTGATGAAGTCCACTGTCTCATATTCAACCCAAAATTAGCAGGAGCCTCCATAAACCTGAAGTAGACTAACAGTTTATGTAACCTCACTGAGAGTTCAGCAGACACAGTCCCCACAAATTACATCTACTCATACCTGGGGTTATTATAAGCCCACAGAAAATTGCCCCAATTCCTAGGGGAAAAATATAGCTGGAAATATTTTAATCCACTTGATATCTGTATCAATTGCTCCTACCTTAACTTCCTTACATTTCGGTCTATGGTAGCAGAATTCTCAGATTTGCTGGGAACATCAAATTATTTAGTTAGTAAATACCTCCTTACTATGGTCTTACAATAGAACTTACATCTGTTCATACCTTAGATTTAAATAATTTGAATTTCAATCTTGAATCATCATCCTGGTTTTAAAAATCATAAAAATAACAACATTGAAGCAATGTGAACATTATAAAAATAACATTAGCGTGAATGAAGATTATTATTGTCATACTCTGGCTGGAGAGCGTTCTGTGATCTACTTTTAGCTGATGAATATGGCCCTGCTTTGCAAATGCACACATAAATGCCATCATGGACCAGAATAAAATATAAATTTATATAAATATAAATTTGAGCTGAACCCAAATCATACAAGACTAATTTTAAACTATTTCATATGACTATAAGACAAATGTATAAATTGATTTCCTATGTAAAATATGAGTAAAGCCTGAGAAATAATTGATTTTGATTATCTCACAGCACAGGTAAATTTACCCTTAAGTGAAAGTATTACACTATTTGAATACTGCAATGGTGATTAGGGATTGGAATCCTTCCATGCCAGCACACACTGTATTCAGGAAGAACAGTACAACTCTCTGTGGGCATTGGATTAAACTGCTCATTTCATCCATTCCAATGTCTCTAAGAAAACTAGGCTATCTTTGTAAACAATGGACTGATTGCCTACCTACTAGTTCACATGTAAACCCTGCATTCGGTACAACAGCAGTAGGTAACTCTTGCTGCTTTTCTAATGGCCACAAAGAAAGATGTCATTACTGTCCAACAAAGAGGAAAATTTGGGTTAGACCCACCTAGCAGTTATGTAGTAATTTTTCTTTGGTGTTTTGAGATATTTACTCACCTGATACCTAGTCATTAGTTTCTCCTTTCATTTTCTTTGAACTCTGAAAAAATTTATTTTAATTTACTATGTTTAGATAGATGAATGGGTGAATAGATAATAGGTAGTTAGACAAACTGATAGGTCAATAGACGGATAGGGAGGAGAGTAAAAAAGATATTGTAAATGTAAGAGAAAACGTCATAGAAGGTTAAAATTCCTAATTAGTCGCAATTCAGATTATCTATAAACAGATACCCTCTTTCTCTACTAAAATAAGTAGGTCAGTGATAGTTTAATTCTATGATTCAAACTGTCTTCATGGTACTCTTATCTACCTGAAATGTAATATATTATTTCATCCTATCGCCTCAAAATTCCTATCTCTAACCTCCCATGACTTTAAAAAACCTTCATAAGGCTTTAATTAAGTGGTATGGTAAAGCAAAAAAAAGAAAAAAAAATCCATCCCAAATACTCAGGTCTGTCAAGTATTTAGAGTGCCAACCAAAGAAAGCAGAATGCAAAGCAGTGATCTAAAGTCTCTCAGTGTATAACTTAGAAGCAATGCTTGAAACACAGCATAATGTTTCAGAAAAATTTTCTCTTTTTAGCTCCTTCTACTGTGTAATTAGAAAATGTACAATTCCAAGACTTACTAATAAAAATGTTTACTTTCCTAACTACCTCCTAAATTTTCCTGTTTCAATGCTACTTTGTACAGTAGAGCTTTTTAAATGCTAGAATAACAGTATATCAATTTGAAACATTTTAAAGTAGAATATGTAAATGATAAGAAACAGAATCCAAAGTCAATAAAATGGTATAACATTATTTTCTGGTGATAGGCTTAATGCCTTTTGCTTTTCAGTTTAACATATACATGTAAAAATAAATAATATCCTGAAGATGTAATTATAAATCTATATATTGATGATATCATTGGTTTTTAACTAATAGAAGGTGAATATACTTAAAAATTGTTAGTTACTTGTTTGGAAGAATTCAGCCAATTTGTACATTGAATTGACTGTTTCTTGCAATTCAAGTATAAAGAGTCAGTGGGCCCCTCCATTTCTCCTATGCTCTTGACTCTCCTATGCTCTTGACTCTCACTCTCCTGGGTTGATCCATTTTATACTCTTAATGGATTGGATTTTCATCCTCTAGATATCTTTTGGTTCCATCATGCACCTTGCTTGTTCTCCCTTGCTCTCCTCCCCATTTTTTCTTACCCCCTCTCTTTTTTTTCTCTTTCCTCACTCTCTTCCTCCCTTCCCCACTGACAATACATGATAGCCATGCTTCCATGCCTGTACAAACAGATCTACCTCTATGTTTTCAGCTTGGCCTGGAGAAGAACTGGCAGATGAACACATCCTGCATGGTGGAATGTCCTGTGAACTGTCAGCTTTCTGATTGGTCTCCCTGGTCAGAATGTTCTCAGACATGTGGCCTCACAGGTTGGTTTATACTACTATTAGCATTAGTCTAATAGCGAATGTCCCTCTTATTTTTAGCCCTATCAGATAATCCTCAGAAAGGTTGTGTTAAATGTCTTTCTTTCCAAAACATGTGCGCCTTTCTTGCTCCTGGTCTCCTCAGGAGAGATCTCCGTGATGTCTTCTCCCAATAACATATCTGTTGTACAACTCTCCCAATAATATTCCCGTTGCACAATTGTGACATATCACTGAAATTGTATCACTTCTCATCTCTTAAAGGAAAAATGATCCGAAGACGAAAAGTGACGCAGCCCTTTCAGGGAGATGGGAGACCCTGCCCTTCCCTGATGGAACAATCCAAGCCTTGCCTGGTAAAGCCTTGTTATCGGTGGCAATACGGCCAGTGGTCCCCTTGCCAAGTGCAGGTATCAAATCTCAGGAAGTTATGTGGACGTGCGTATTCATCATCTGCAGAGACTTGGTTTCAAAAATGTTTTTCTGATTGAAATATTTTTCAGATTGCTGGTTTCCTCTTGAAGAATTTAGTTACTTTGCCATTTCATAATCATTTAATTAGTTTTGATAACAATCACTCCCTGTTGGTACCTTTAAAATCATTTGGAGATGGGTTCATTTCAATGAAAATGTATTGCCTGTCGCTGACTAGAAAACAAATAAATTGTTCAGTGTATGTTTTATAGCTTGTGCCCTATAAGGCTTCTTCCCTAGGGTTTCAAATGCTTCTCTAGCTGTTCATAAATCAAACTCAATGATGCAGAGATAACTGTAAGTGATGAGCTCTCTAATGAAATATTTTTCTTTTCCTAATTAGTTATTTCTTCCATTCCAGGAGGCCCACTGTGGAGAAGGGACCAGAACAAGGAACATTACTTGTGTAGTCAGTGATGGGTCAGCTGAGGATTTCAGCAAAGTGGTGGATGAGGAATTCTGTGCTGCCATTGAACCCATTGTAGATGGTAATAAAAAAATTGTCCTGGAGGAAACCTGCACACAGCCTTGCCCAGGTATCAGCAGAGAAGTTTATATTTTGGTGATTTCTTTACAGGACTAGGGCAAAAAAGATTTACCTGTTCTATTTCCTATCCATGAAGCTGGTTTGATCTCAACTGAGATCATGTCTTTGGCAGACATGATGTGATTTTATTATTACTACAGTGGTTTACATGTTCAAAATATAAAAGTATGCTTACTAAGGGAGTGCCTCCCTCACTCTCATTTGCTATTAGTAAGTCTTGTAAGCATGACATGGATTATTTTGGTATGAAAATTATACAGCACAGATTATAGTTTAAAAAGTTATTGAATTTAATTGCAAAATACATGATATTAAATGAGGATTAGTTCAGAGATAAAGCCTACAGTAAAAATGTTTATTTTATTTCCATATGGTTTGTAATCACCAAGGTGAATTCTACATTCATATTCATATTCAATATGAATATTGCATTCATATTGACAGGATTATTTTATCTTAGCAGTTATTTGTGCATAATTTAAAAATGAGTTAACGCAAATTTGGCATTTCCTAAGGGACATAAGCGTTTCTACAACTTTCTGGACTGCTTAAAAATTCTTGCTAGTTTCTTTTTCCTTATCATTTCCAAAATTTATTAGAATTTTTATACTTCAGGAGTATTAATGATATTCTAATACAAGTTTATAAAAATCAGTCTACTATCACATGTGTGACTGCTAGTCAATAATATATGTATTACCAGGATTTCTTAGCCATGAGACAATACATTTTTTTATTAATCCTACCTCTAGGTAACTTTATGTAATATTTGTCATCTTCAGCATAAGGTAATATGAATTATTCATATGATACTGCTGGAATAATTAAAGTAGTAAGAACCCCCTATGGATTTGTATCTGTAATAACTAACTGTATATTCTGAACAGTATCACCACACAATCAGTCCTGAAGAATGGATGGGAATTTTTGAATGGTGTATTTCATTAAATCATCCTTGTTCTCAAAATGGTTGAAGATGTTGAACACATGGATACACTGTAACTCAATGCCCACCAGTAATATAATGGATTCTACATTGTAGTATATTCACACAATGGAATACATTATATCAGTAGCAGACAAATTAGAATTGCATAGATACATAACAAATAATACAAACATGAGTGAGTAGAAAAGGCCAGATTTAAAAAAAATACAAATGGTATGATTTCATATATAACATGAGCAGGTTTCTGACATTCTGGGAATGTTCTTTCTTAATTTAATTAATGTTGATTATGTGGACACATAATCAAATTGTGAAAATTCAGCTCTCTGTGAATTTATGATACATGATCATTTTGCATATACCATAAATTATTCCTCACTAAATATTTAGCAGAAAGAAAGGAGTGATTAAAGAAGGTAGACAGAAAAAATAGCAAGTATCAATTCTACTGCAGTTGCTCCATTGGCTATCTCACCTCAACACCTCCAGAAAGAAATAGAAGAAAACTATAAAAAACAGTCTTCTCAGCTTGAACTTCAAGCCCATTTGAAATTAGGAATAATTAGAAGACAAGTTCTATGCATGCTAAGTTTTAATAAACCCCTTTACAATAATAATGACATTAGTGGTGGTATCTTTTGACCAAATATTTGTCATATCTAAGGAAGTGATCACAATTGAGAAGCTCCTTCAAGCCAGTTTATATTTTATAACATCAAGCAGCACATATCCCAGGAGTAACCACTCAAAAAAGAACAAACAAACTTATAAAATTACATTGAAACTTGCAATTGCTAGATGCTTATCCAAATCTTATGAACATTTATGTATAACTAGCATATATGCAAACATTGTCCAGCGGGGTTAGAGTTAAAATGAGTATCTGTCTCCATATTCTGGATGCATATGGATATAAATTACCAACCTGTGTTTTGTAGGTGACTGTTATTTGAAGGACTGGTCTTCATGGAGCCTCTGTCAGCTTACCTGTGTGAACGGCGAGGATGTAGGCTTTGGTGGAATACAGGTTCGATCCAGAGCAGTGATTATACAAGAACTAGAGAACCAACATCTGTGCCCAGAGCAGATGTTAGAAACAAGATCATGTGATGGTGAGTGCTACGATTCGTGTTTTCATTTCAGTTTTGTGATGATAAGCAAAACTTCAAGATAAGAATTTCTTGTGAAGTAGACAATTTGCTAAGATCTAACTTAAGGCTGGGCATTCTGACTTGTAAAAATTTACTTTCATAAATTGCATGTGAAATATCATAAAATGGTTATGAGATAATTAGGATAATTAGGAGCACATTGCTTGTATATTTATAACAAAATTGATCATGCATACATCTAACAATATTTCCCATTTATTTAAATCAAATGACAGAATTTTTAAGAAATCCACAGAAAAATGATAACTCAAATTGTTTGTGAGAATTAGCAAATGCAATATAATTTGAAATAGATATTATACACACGTTTTCGTGTCTGTGTGTGTTTACATACAGACATACAGAACCATTCACTCAATATTGGCAATACATGAAACATTCAAGAATCCCAGAGCATTACAATGTCACAGTTTGGACACAGGGGAAACTTTAATGAAAACAAAATAATTGCTATCTAGTGGAGAATGTGAGGCTCAAAATCCTTTCCTGCTTGTGTTCTGAAACAACTAAGACATATGACAGTCAGTAGAAAGTATGATCCATAAAATCACCTTTGTTGTGAAAAATTGGAGAGGGCTTAGGATATTGGAGAAGAACATGTAGAATGGGATAGATGACTTAACCCGAGAATTAGATTAAATGATCTTCCCTGTCACTTTAATCTTCCTAAATTTACCAACCAGATAAAAACATCTCATATGTCTAGGGTCAAGTACATAAAGAATAGAACAAGCTCAAGATATATAATAAATTAACTAACTCTCAAGACAAGAAAGTGAATTGTTCACCTAAGACTACTGTGAAATAAAATCAGAAATCAATAGCAAAATGATCAAGAAATTTCTTCATGCACAGAAGTTAAACTTAAAAACCACACTTCTAGATTCTTTTATGTCAAACATTACCTGGGATGCAGCAGAAAGCACTTAGAGGAGTATTTAAAGCCTTAAGTCTTTCATATGGGTGGGGAGGGGAGAGAATGAAAAATTAACCATGCTTTCAATGCAAGAAATTTTACAACCAATATAGATAAGTGAAAACTCTATGAGATAGAAAAAAAGAAATGTGATCAACAACAAATCCAATAGCTCGTTTTTTGACCAAACTAACAAAATATTCCATCCTGTGGCTAATAATGAGAAAAGACAAATTTGGTACTAGTACCAATAAAAGGAGCTTAGAAAATATGATTTTATCAATAGCTTTTCTAATAGCATAAAAACTTAAATGGAGAAAATTTGGTGTTATAATTTATCAAAAGTAATAGAAAGCTGGCCATGGACTCTATAACTATTAAAAACTCTAATCTATCAAATATATACTTGCACATGCACACAATCTAAAACATAAGTGGATTTAATTATGAGTTTTACTAAAATTTTTTTAAAGTGATATCTTCTATGAAATTCTATGAAAAGCCAGGCATGGCAGTCACAACTATAATCCAGCACTAAAGATGCTGAGGCAGGAGGATCACAAGTTACAAGGCCAGTATGAGCTAGGAATATCCTGTCTCAAAAAGGAAAAATAAAAGGCTGTAAAGGAAGAAAGAAAAAAAAGAAAGCAAGAAAAGAGAAAAAGAAAATCAAACTTAGAAGGGTGCCAGTGATTCATGCCTACAATTGTAACTGCTCAGGAGGCAGAGAAAAGGGCTGACAGAGTGACTCCAGTGATAGAGCACTGCCTAGCAAGAGGCCCTGAGTTCAAACCCCAGTACTGCTAAAGGAAGGAACAAAGGAAGGAAGGAAGGGGAGAAGGGAGGAAAATCAAACTGAGTGGGACAAAAAGTAAGGAAAATCTCTCCAACTCCTATCATAGTATAATTTTGACAGTAAAATAAGTCAATGAAATAAAACTATCTCTGAAAATAAATGTTGAAGTCATAAAAGGTAACTAAATCAAGAATGTATTTAATAAATAATTGACATAACTAATAATGGTGAAGTTTAAAGGACTGGGGTCATTGTCAAGCAGTAGAGTATCTGTCTCACAAGTGAAAAACCTTGAGTTCAAATCCCAGTACCACCAAAAAATATCATAATCAAATTTAAAAATACAAAGAAACCTAAATATCAAAAATCTACTAAAGTATATTCTGTTATCAGAAATCAGGATGTGATTTTTAACTACATGCTGGAAAAGTATTTTTAGAAATCAATCCTCATTTACTACAAAAATTTATAAACCAGGCTGGGCATGGTTGCTCAAGCCTATAATCCTAGCTACTTGGGAGGTGGAGATTGGGAAGATCACAGTTCAAAGCCAGCCCAGGAGTTTGTAAGACTCCATCTGAACTAATGACTGTGCACAGTGGTGTACACCTGTCATCCCAGCTATGTGAGGAAGCACAAATAAGATGATCATAGTCTAGCTACCCCAGGCATAAAGGGAGAACTTATCTCCAGAATAACAAACAAAAAAAGGGATAATGGAGTGGCTCAAGGGAAAACAAGCTGCCTAGAAAGTGCAAGGCCCTAAATTCAATCCCCAGTTGTGTAAAAAAAAAAACAGGGGCTGGTGGAGTGGCTCAAGTGATAGGAGCACCTGCTTCACAAGCATGAGGCCCTGAATGCAATCACAGTGCTGCAAAAAAAAAAAAAGAAGAAGAAAAGAAAAATAAATTCTTGTAAAGCAAATTTGAACCAGAAGGAAAATTTTCACATTAAAAATTCTAAATAACTTATAAACAAGTATGTGGAAGTAAGAAGAGAGTAAAGAAACATTGCATCATTTAAAAACAAATATACAGAGGATTCCAAGATGGCAGCTAGAGGGAGGAAGCAGAAAGCGAGCCTCCTATAGTGAAATCTTGGAGAGACTCTGGAGACACACTTTGCAGGCAAAATCACCGAGAAGAGGCATAACTTTGACCCCTCCACACCTCCTGCCAGCGCAGAGAATCTCCACTTCACGTTAAACAGAGAAACCAGGAGGGCCCCCGGGCCACCAGTCGTCCCTGGCCAGACGGCTTTGGAAGATGTGGACAAGGTGAGCTTTGCGGTACCTCGGCACTCCCACAGAAAAGCCTGGGCCAGAGCAGTATAGCCCCCTGGACAGACTGACCTCCACCCGGGGAAAAAAAGAAGAAACTGACTAATAAGCAATAAAAACAATAAAGACACGAGGGAAAGAGGGTGGAGCGCACTGAGCCCGAAGATTGGGGGAAGGGAATCCTTCCCGGGACTGTAAATAAACAAGCCGGGCTGACCGGAGAGGCTCTGGCGGGAGCAGGGACGCACGCCCAGCAACCAGGAGCGGGAAAGCTTGTGAGAGTGGTGGAGGGAGGAAAACTCCACAGGAGAGGAGGGAAGACCCACTTCTCACGTGAACTGTAAATAAACATGGCGGCTGGCAGGAGCAGCAGCACTGCCCAGTAATCAGGAGCAGAAAAGCTTGTAAAAGTGGAGGTGGGAGGAAAACCACAGGAGAGGGGGGGAAGACCCGCTTCCCACATGAACTGTAAATAAACACGCAGGCCTGATAACGTGGGTGCAGTGTCACCTTCCCCAGTGTGCTTGGAAAGGGGAAAGCTTGTAGCAGAGGCTCCCACACAGGAGAAATCTGAGCAAACAAAGCCTGTGGGACCAGGTGAGTGCTAAGCTCACCCATGAGATCTGCATAAATAACACCTCCACAACAGCAGGCTGACAGCAGTGGGCAGGCAAGCCACAGTTGCAGAAACCATTCTCAGAACTGTCTCCAAACTCTTTTTTTTCTTTTTCTCCCTACCTTTGATGAGAGAACAACTGAATTACACCTGCATGCTGAAAAACTTACTGAAACTGTATTGCATTTGAACTTGGGACACTTCGTGGGGGTTTTTTTTGAGTGTTTGTGTAGTTTTGTTCTATTTTATGTGTCCCCTTTGATGAGACAACTACAGAACAACATCTGAGGCACCATCTCCAGGACTGAAGACTGAGACAGACACCCAAATTATTAAGACTGAAACTTCATTGCATTTGAACTTGGAGGTTTTTTGGTTTTTGGGTTTTTTGGTTTTTTTAAATTTTCTATTTTTCACATTATTTTATTTTATTTATATATATGTATACACATATATATATATTTCATTTACTTATTTGTTAGTTTTATTATCTTTTTTTATTTTTTATTTTCAATCCTCTCTGTCTCTCTAATGCCTGTTCAGCTTACTGTCAATTAGTACACTAATGCTCCCTGTTTATACCTTTGAAACTTTCTTGTCTGATTCCTTGTTCTGTTTTCTCCTTCTTGTCTGTTTATTTGTTTTTCCCTTTTCTTTAACTTCTTGCTTTCCATCTCCACTCACCCTTCCATTCTAAATATTACCATTGTTATTATTACAAGCTAGAAAATACTTAATTGCACACAGTACAGGACAGTAACAACACCAAAGACAATGACAGGAAGACAGAAAAAACAGGGAAACCAGTTTCCCCACAGCAAAAAATTAGTACAGGAACCAGAGGGAATGAAAAAACAGAACTCAGATCCAGACTCCAACAAAATGAAGATAAACTATGCCAAAGGACCCAATGAAGCCCACAAGAATAATTTAAAAGAAGACATACTACAGGTACTCAATGAGAATTTTATAGAGATGATACTGGATAGGTCAACCAAAATGTACAGGAGACACTCAAGAAATTCCAAGACAACAAAAGTAGAGAATTTGAAAAAGCAAAAGAAGAAATAAAGGAAACCATAGAAGCACTGTATAAACACCAAAGTGAAAGAGAAAACACGATGAATAAACAGATAAATGAACTCAGGACAAAAATAGACAACATTAAAGAGGAAACCACCCAGGATATGGGAAACCTCAGAAAAAAGAATGAAACAGAACTGCAAAACAAAATGGAAGGCCAATCCAGCAGAATAGAACAAACAGAAGACAGAATCTCAGAACTTGAAGATGAAATGGTAATTAAAGGAAAAAACCAAAGAACTATTAATTA